CTTTCTCTTCTAACGTGTCGTCATAATAAATTTGACCTTTCTATAAAACAATGTTATCGACTGCCACGCAAGCAAATCATGTATCAATTTTTGAATTGAATTTGCCTTATTTTACGTGGCGAGACTCGGACCATCACAGGCCCGCTCTTCCGTCTGACCTTCCCCTCTGCTTTACTTCCCCTCCGAAGGAAGGTGTACGAAGGATTTTGTCGCCCTAAAAATCCACGGCTTCGATCGGGTTTGAACCCGCGAGCTTGGGTATAACAGTCCGGTACGCTAACCGTCACACCATCGCCGCCGCAATTCCTTTGTTGCAAATTAACGCACTGAAGAGATAAAATTTCTTTCAGTAAAAGCAAGAAAATTCTGATGCGATTATGATTCAGAAGAGTAATTATAGATGATACATCTGGGTGCGTCATTTTTCAGTGGCTAAAAAACACTCCACAGTGTTCTGATATTTCCAATGTAGGTCGGCGCCGGATCCTACCATCCAGCGAGGGAAGATCAACGCCGCTTCTCGCGATGAAACATTCACTACAATAACGGGACTAATGGCTATAGCAGTTGACGTGCCCGGAAATATAAAAAACAAAGTGCGCCATTTTTAAAATACTTGGTAGTTTTGTTTCTCTACTCCGAACGTACCAATAACAGTATGATCATTGAAATGCGTTTTAAACCCTCTTCTTTAATCACATCCAAAGTACATCGGTTTAGTGACACCACTGTTTTTTTCATTTATACAAAAGGGTTGTTACACGTATCTTAGGCAACGTACTAACATAGATTAGGTTCGGTCTCACCTTAGTTCAGTTTTTTTTATAGGTGGTGCGTCTGCTCTTTCGCCTGACCATTTTCGAAAAATTTTTAATACTCTAGTTAATGAAAACAAGGTCATTCAAAGAGAAATAGGAAGGAAGGAGTAGATAGAAAAGGGAATACTTTCAAAGCATTTGTGAGATGAAATTTATTTATTTATTTATTTATTTATTTATTTATTTATTTATTTATTTATTTATTTATTTATTTAAAGTTAGGAATGTGTTAAAGTTAACCATAAACATATTGGAACGCTACGAATACGATTGGAATACGATTGAGAGGTTTTTGTACACATAAATTGCAAAAGAACGAAGCCCTTTCACTTGAGAGCGGCCCGGCATTGGTACGCAAATCACCACTGGCCGAACGCCAAGTATTAGCGCCGTGACGCGGAAAACGCACGGTACTATTTTATCGCGAAACAATTACTTACACGTGAAAAACATATCAACTGCACTTCACAGGGAGCTCTCTTAACTAGCAGAGTTACTTACACAGTCTTAGTTAAATGAACAAACTCAAGGAAACTCTCTAAAAAATATCCTAATATACCGTTGTGTAAGATAATATCATTTGATCGTTCCGAAACTGTGTACTTCTCACTTTTGTCTGAAACTTGAACTATGACAGGAGATGGAAGAAATTCATCCTTGCCAAAATAAACATCATTCTAAGCACAATCTAGCGCTTAAATTAATAAAACAAGCCAATAACGAAGTATTAAAACTAGTGAAGGGCGAGAGAGAGAGAGAGAGAGAGAGAGAGAGAGAGACAGACAGAGTGAGGCAGAGTGTGGCAGAGAGTGGCAGAGAGTGGCAGGGAGTGGCAGGGAGTGGCAGGGAGTGGCAGGGAGTGGCAGGGAGTGGCAGGGAGTGGCAGGGAGTAGCAGGGAGTAGCAGGGAGAGGCAGGGAGAGAAAATAATTGCGAAAGTTGAGATTTTAAATATGTATGTATTAGTGATCAGTTTTTGCAGTAGATTTCACATTTAATGTCCATAAAATCTCGAAAATTATTTTCTACTTGTATTATACAATATACGAAAAATAACGTTATTCGTAACGATAATAATGAACAGTACCTATTCCGTAGTACATTCTTTCCCATCCAAAATAGACATTGCCTCTTCTCCAATTTACTCCAAATTAGTCATAAGTAGGGAACAAATTTCCACAAGACACTTTCTATTAATCAAGTACAAAAAGTGTTCTTTGCATTTCTTCTCATCAAAATAATAGGTACAAACATTTTTTTCATTCAGCAATTTTCAACATTTTATAGTTTGGAAAGAATTGCACTAATTCTAAATTAATACATTAAACTTCATATAAATACATGTAGACTAAGTTTGTTAAATTCCAACGGTCACTTTGTACTTGTGTCTTGATCGTTCAATGCGATGTAGAGAGGTAGAAATCGTTGCGACTGTGGGAGGAATTAATGTCCATCAATCTAACTTGAACTCGGCGCTCCTTTGTTTATTACAGAGCGAGTCGAGGTGAAGAAAGTCAGAACCATCATGTTTCTCTCAACGATATCAATAAATAACCCCTTCACCGTTACAACGTAAGAGGTTGGGATTCTAGTAGAAAGTATGTTGAGCAATTTTCTTTCTGCCATACCGGCAGCATAGAGAAGGCTACGAATTCCATAACCACACGCAACCGAGTTGATACAGGTTCGAATGAAAGAACGGTAGAGAAATTTGTGTGAACAGACGGAAGAGCGGGCCTGATGGCCCGAGTCTCACCACGTAAAATAAGGCAACAATTCAAGTCGATTCAATTCAATCCGATTCAGTTATTGACATCACTTTTCCCGTTTGCAACCGAAAACAGATTTTTTACTTCGGTGATATTTAGCAAGACGTGTCTGTATCGTGTTTATCCAGTCGAATTTCTGGAGACTGCCCCCGTCCTCTGAGATCGCCTCGTTCTCCAGGTACCAACCAAATTACCACCTCACGTGGCCCGCAGAACCTTACACTCAGCGTGGTCTTGCTACACTCTTAGGCCTCTTTCCCAATGCAAAGTTAAACGAAAACGAAAAGTAGTCACAAAAGGAAAATAATGAATGCAAAATAAAGATCTTTCCGCCATACTTTAAACGAATCGATCAAGCTTTAATACGTTCAACTCTGGTTCAGGCGAAACTTACGTTCACAGCTTATGTTCGACATTGCGAATGCCTGTTTTTTTACGTGCGAGTTTTACTGTTATGTTTACAGCATTACGTTACGTTTAAATTTGCAATGTGAATGAGGCTTTACGAGTGAACCAATCAGCTTGGTCCGGTTTTGGCAGGATTGGGTGGGTGGAACACGTGGCCGAACCTAGGTAGCGCCAGCTGTGGCCGGGACGCCCACTCTACGCACGACAAAGCGACGCCGGCTCCACACTGCTACTGCGAAGAAGCTACTCTCAGAAGGACTGATTGCAAAACAAATGAACGTCATGACAGGCAATGGCATTGCAAGAGACAAGTGTACAATCCATTTACTAGTGAGTTCCTGCAAACGAACACATTGACGAATTCAACGAATGGACATAATTTTCAGTTTTGTTGCCAGGAGTAGCCAAGTAGTAGTTGTCAAAGACGCCCCTTGTTATATCAATCTCTCTGTAGTGAGCGATATCGACAACAATACACCAATGTTACCAAACATCGATATTAACAATACATCGATCAAAAATTATCGATGTTTTGAACATCAATGTTTTAAAGCTGGTTTGGTAAACACTGATTTCAAATTCGTGCGTACGATAATTTAATTTGACAATGGCCATGTAAATTAATTTGTAATTAAAATTTTATTAAAAGAAAGTTAAAAATGCCTCTCCGTGTGCGAAATTCGAAGAAATACTAGGGCATCATCAATGTCATTGAATGAAGTTATGAATCAACTGAAGTTATCATTTCCCATGTTAACTTCTACACAATTGTGAAGGGAATTTTTCATTCCCGAAGAAAACATCGAAAACGTAAAAACATAGAGCACAAAACATTCATGTTAAAAATCACTAACTTCAAGACATCGATGTTTAAAACACCGACTTCATTATAGAAACATCGATGTTCAGAAAACATTGGCATCGATGTCACATGCCTGTTCCCGGCGGGAGACGGGCAGAAGAAAATGCAGCTGATCGTGGGCAACGTGCGTTTGTGTGGCACACTATGACCCTACGCCACTCGGACATGTCAGGGAAGATAGGAAAAGTTTTGCACAGTGAGTTGCGAGTGCCCAGCGTGTTTTAGAACAAGCGAATTCATCCGGAAATTGCTGAAAAGTAACAAAACGACGCGTTTCTCAGACAGCAGAAAAATTATTCATCTCATTATTAGATCTCGGATTTTAGGGCAAATGCCTATTTAGTTCCTTGAGGAGGTCGTGGAAAATAATCTCAGATGTTTACGAATCATGACAAAATTGGTCTACTGAAAGCAACTAATAGCGCCTAAAATAGCGCCAAAAACGGCAGTAGATGCCAATTTTAATCTTTTTTTCTGATACAAGAAATTTTGATGAATTATCATATTTAATTAATAAATTTTCCAATTTATTTTACCGAAACACAAATACTTTCTTGAATTTTCCGAAACGTGGATTTGGAATCGAAAACGCAATCGAGTAAGTAGCGAAATTTTTCACCCAACACATAAAACAAAGGGCTCTCAGTCAACTGCGAGACAAGAGGATGTTTCACGCTCGTCTCCGAAAAGCACGCACGTCTTAGGCAATTACAATTACTCCCTGTGTAGCTACTCTGTTGACAGGTTAAACATGAAAAGTGTGAAAGAATGAATGAAATGAAAAGAAATAAAAGTGAAAAAAATAATACGCTCGTAGTCACGTTCGTAAATGTAAAAAATAATTCACTGCCCTAAATAAAAGGTCCCTTCTGAAATTATTTTTGTGATCGATTTTAGACGCTAGAAACACAACTTTTAATGCCTAATGATTTTAATTGACTTATTTAATCATTTTGTAACTTATTTCAAGTGCCTAATACGTCACATTTCATGTTTAATTGTGCCTAATTTTATAATTAGTTTACCTATTATAGGTGCCTAAAATTCCGAGGTTGACTCATTATACAGATGACCCTGTCGTTATTTTTCACTCGAAATGATTCGCCCCGCAACAAGCGGGCATTATCATGGAAAATGAGCTTACCTGGTAGAGCTTGATGATGTGCGGATGATCCAGCTGCTTCATGATCTCAACTTCTCGGTAGACCTTCTGCAGATTGACGGCGTCCAGCTGGGACTTGTCGATGATCTTAATGGCCACCTACAACAACAATAACAGAAAAACGAACGTTAATTTCAAAATCGGATCACCTATTTTGGCAGATGAGATGACCATCTCAAAATAGTAGGCGGTCGTCTTGGAAAATCGGAAAATGTGTGACCTAGGCTAAATCATCGAAACTAACCAAGACTAAATCATCGAAGATGAATGATAATAGTTTTGAAGAAGTACACAACTTCAGTTTCCAGTTTTGTAAAACAATAATATCAGAATTTTTTTTAATGTGTTGTACAATCCACGATACAATTTCTGGTAACAAGCATACTAAGACACAAATGAAATTCTATAAAATTCTGAGTTAATCAACAATACCCCACCATAGTGTACAGAGAACGCCTAGTAGAATAGATAAGAGAAAACCTTAGCGAACTGAAACATATTTGAGACTATTGGCTTGCTATTCAATATTATACTGAAACATAAATGCAGGCATTCCAAAGTAGTGAAGACATTCAACCCAGTAGAAAAATAGCAACAAAATATTATCATATCATGCCCATAATATTTTAAAATATGATGCCATAAAATCCTTTACTTTACACGGAAAAACATATAAAGTTTACGCCGTTTTGCCGTTTAATTAATTAATTAATCCAATAGTAGAGGAAGGGAAAAAAGGGTACATAATATGAAAAAAGTATCTTGAACACATGCATGAAAGTCAACTCTTGTAGGAGATATCAAACTCTAAAATCGCTCTCAAACCGCAATATAGCCTTTCTGTTATTTTCATTATAACACTTCTACCTGTTGTATGTTGAATGTATAAATCAATTGCCATTTACAAATAATAAAGACAGTCATCTATGTTAAAGACCTTGACAACTGAGAATTAATTAATGATAATCCGCAAGATTTGCAACGGTGGACTGCAATTGTTTTGCACGGCTAAACAATCAAAGAAATAATTATATGACAATGATGAGTAAAAACTCTTCTGAAGCAAACTTGTATAAAAAAGGAGACTATTCTGAATTTCAAAAACAAAAAGAATAGAACGCTGCGACTTCAGAAGTTATTAAGACCAAGGGGTTGTTTTTAAGAAATAGATGTTCGGTTGTTGAAGATAATAAGACTTAAAACAGGTTATGGAGATTCCACAACCCTGTTTGATGAACGAAGGAAACAACACACAAACTTATACATATTTACTAACTTACACTCGTATGTATTTACAAACTTTTTCGTCCCTCCAGGTCCTATTCGCTCTTACGATTTAAGATACATGTGAATAAATGCCATGCTTGATCGTTTGTTCAATCACCAAAAAAAAAAAAAAACTTATAATACCCCGTAATGCTATGCCAGTATCCATATTAATGACGAAATGCATGTAACAAAACGTAAACAGCTCCATTACGATGTTAAATGAAACGTCTATCCATCAAGTTATTTTCTACCACATCGAGTTGATAAAAACAAGTAACTTGCAAGTTGCAAAAATAATGAACATACTTCTTTCGAGTAAACCCACGTGCTATTATGAAGCTTAAAAACAATTACACGCACTAATGAGTAACGAGCTCCATAGTAGATAATTTTAGGACAAACAGTAGCATCAATAGTAAGAATGTTCATATAATACTTCATATTGAAACATAATACATTTTCCTATATTTTGGAAGCCCATTACCGAAATGTGGTACTCAATATATCGAGTACACCTGGATAACTATGTAACTGTATTTCTGAGATGTACTAAAAGGTGAAGAAAAAAGTTATTTCGGTCAACCGATTTGCAAGCCGAAACAACCAAATTTCGACCTTAGTACGGCACCGATCTACTCAGTCCGAAAATTGGTCTGACTCTCCAGAGAAGCCGTAGAGCAACATAGAAGCAATTGAGCAATACAATATGTCGTACGACCCCGTTGCACAGTTAAGTTGTTTGATTAGTGTTTCCGGGCGCGTTACCTGTTAAGGACATTACTCCCGTACGTGTAGTGCATGTTTTATCGCGGTAGATGGCGGTAATCTTTCTCCACAAGATGGCGCCAACTCTCACGTCGGCTAGTAAGGTTTTCCCCAACCAAGTATCTCCCATCAGCGAGGTGATGCCCAAGCTGGCAGAAGCCATAAGCTCCCGACTGGTGTACGGCAGTGAAATGCATGTTAGTGTGTGTAAGTAAGGCTTGAGGGTAAGATGAAGGAAGAAAATATTGTATGCGGTCCGTGGCCCGTTTCTTAGGGTACTGCTCCGGCATTCGCCTGGTGTTGTTCGGAGAAGCCACGGATAAGTATCGATCTCAGCAGCCGGCCGCTAGAATTCTCCCCCAGACAGCGATAGAATTCGACCCAGCTTCGTGCCACCGTCAAGACTCGAACCCTAGCGTCTCACTGTCAGAGTCTCTGCGGTGACATCAGTTGAAACTTTGACACAGCACAATTGTGCATCTCGACCCAGGTATGTAATTAGTGTCGAAAACCCTCCCACCGTCCGGACACGAACCCTAGCACCTCCCAGTCAGAGACCCTGCAGTGCCATCATTTGACGCTCTGACACAACACAATTCTGTGCATCCCTGTTCCGCAAGCACTGCTTTCCAACGCGTTTGTGCAGCCCTGTCGCCTCGCCACTCCGGGGCTCCCCAGACGTACTCAACAACCGCTGGCTTCCGGCAGCCCACATTTTTCACCGCGCGGCGATTTTTTTTGACGGACTCTGTCGGTGACATGCTCGCTGTTGAGCCGAGCAGAGAGGTTGGAGAAGAAAAGTGCAGCGCGGCAAACTTTTGCAGCACAGCACACGTCATCCGGGGAACTGCGAAATGTGAGACTCCGTTAATCTCGACTTTGAATGAATTTGTTGTGTTGAATTTGATTTGATTTATTTGCGTCAAACAACTGTAAAAACTATGTGACGCATAGGAGAAAAGTATAATATTTCTTTTTCCTGGGCTCCGTACTCTTTTACTGTGTGATCAATAACAGAACCAAAACGTGAGGATAGCAACATTTGAAAAATTAGAAATGTTCTCTCACTAGTAAAAGAAAACTTATTTGTACTGGTAAACGAACTACAGATTTGGATTGTTAGTATTTGTAACAAAGTAGTAACCCATATCTCCAGCTCTTCTCCTAGCACAATTGGCAAAATAAAGCTCAACAAAACGCGCGCAAAGTGAAGCTAAATTTATGACCACAACCAAAACAAGGGAGTCATCTCAGCAACATTTGTTCAAAGGATCAGGGAAACTGGTCGAAAGCGTGATTGAGATAGAGGGGTCAAGTATCCAGAATCTGTCTCCCAGTTACTCTGATCGGATGTTTTCCGTTATTTCACCGATCAATATAAGGAGAATGCCAGAGATATACCAAATGGAACGCGCGTGATTTTTCCTTTTTTCCTTGTCCTTTTCTAACCCCTTCCCTACACACATTTACACACACAACACTATCATACATGTCAGAAGATCAATCGGGAGCCAGGAGCTTGTCCCAGCAGAGGGAGCCGCTGCGGGAGATATTTGGAGGAGAGAAATCTGTAAACCAACTTGCAGGTCGACACTGGACGTCATATTCCAGCGGATGGATATCACGGCCACCTACCGGAATATAACAAAGCGAACCCACGGCACAATTGTTCAGGGTTCTCCTGTTTTACTTGCCCCTCGTTGCTCTATCGTCATCCGGTAGATCCATATGGAATAAGTGGGTTCGCAGCAGGTTTGCTCAGGGTATTCCTTTCGTCTTGTTCCCTCAATTCTCCATCATCATTCACCTCGCAATAATCGCTAGCATCAACTTTCATTAGGAATGGTCAATGACCTCAGCAGTTAAAAGGCCCCCAAGCTCAAATAAATAAACAAGAAAAGGACGTAGACCGGAATTAAAATTTCGGGACTTAAAACATTCTCCCTCGAGGATAATAATCTTTTTTAATCCCTAGGTGCGTAAACAACAAATGAAATCCCCGAACCCTGCCTCCAAATGACCCCCTTTCGGGGGGACGGGAGAGGATTGAAAACGTCTCCCGTGACCCTTCGCGGGTGCTCCCAGCCCGGCCATTGCGCAGCCAGGGAAGTGGTGAGCTCCCAGCTGAGGGAGCCGCTGCGGGAGATATTTGGAGGAGAGAAATCTGTAAACCAACTTGCAGGTCGACACTGGATTCATATTCCAGGGGATGGATATCACGGCCACCTACCGGGATGTAACAAAGCGAACCCTCGGCACGTTTGCTCAGGGTTCTCCTGTTTTACTTGTCCCTCGTTGCTCTATCGTCATCCGGTAGATCCATATGGAATAAGTGGGTTCGCAGCAGGTTTGCTCAGGGTATTCCTTTCGTCTTGTTCCCTCATTACTCCATCATCATTCACCTCACAATAATCGCTAGCATCAACTTTCATTAGGAATGGTCAATGACCTCAGCAGTTAAAAGGCCCCTAAGCTCAAATAAATAAATAAACAAGAAAAGGACGTAGACCGGTATTAAGTCACTGCGTTCGGGACTTACAAACATTCTCCCTCGAGGATAATAATCTGTTTTAATCCCTAGGTGCGTAAACAACAAATAAAATCCTCGAACCCTGGGGGAGGGGAGAGGAGGGAACGCGTCTCCCGTGACCCTTCGCGGGTGCGCCCAGCCCGGCCATTGCGCAGCCAGGGAGGTGGTGGGGACTGTCCGTCCCGACCCGGGCAGACGAGGCAATGAGTGGGCGGGGCGCAGTGGCCCCGCGCGCCGCTCTCGCCGGACGCTAACAGAAACCGGCTAGCTTGGAACTAAATTGGTCTACGTTTACGAATAGACCACTTAACAATTGGGTGATCTGGGCTGTCCGGGTGACGCCGCGTCGAAGGCTGTGTCGCCGACGTTTCGCCCATTCTGTCGTGGTCTTCCTCGCATACCAGCCCTATCACTTATTAACGTTTACGTCTGTGCGTTATGCTTATGCGGGGAGCAACTACGTTTCTGGAAGGACTTAGTTTCGACGTTGGGGCAGGGTTTTTGGCACTAGCTAGATAGCTATAGGTCGAGTTCA